ATTCACTCGAAATAGGTGGAGTTGCTGGCTGAAAAATGAAAATCGATGCCATGTGGTTTACTTTTAAAGGTAATTGACATGAAATGGGGGTGAGTGTGGTTGCTTTCTGATTGTGTCTTTAATCGTTTCTCTAATTGGTTCACACCTGTGTCATTTTAAAATGTTCAGCTGGATCTTCTGGAAGCAACTTTGGCCTGTGGCCCCCGTACTACAAGCTATGAAGCTCACAAGGAAAAAGAGAGAGAGGAAGAGAGGGAAGGAGGGAGAAAGAGAGAGAAGGAAAAAAGAGAGAGAGAGGGAGGGGTATTTATATCAGGTTGGAACTTGAAAGAGATCTAGTAATCTCAATCTTTTTATGAAACATACACAGGTAGTCCTGATGTAAGATTATAATCGAGCCCAGAAAAAAAGTCATAAAATGAGTCACCACATACATAACCATGTCAAATTTTATGACCTTTTTTGCAGCAGTCATAAAGTGATGGTGCAAGTGGTTGTGATTACTGACCCGTTACCAGGCACGCAAAATGCAATCACGTCACCTAAGAGGGTGGGTGGGTGAGTGTTTGGAATCTGGGTCTTAAGTAGCCCTGGAGAGGTCTGTTGTAACTGTGAATAGCCACTAGGTGACCAGGTGTAAGCCAATGGCTACTTGTATCCTATTTCTAGATTCGTTTCTCTCTTCTTTATGGACAATAAATAAGGTTCTTTATGACTCTGGTTATGTTTTGAGTCCTAGAAATCCTGCACCTTCTAGCAATTTGGATTCGAGAGTTTACAAAATGTGTGTTGAGAAAGAGGGAAAAATATGTTGTTTTTGCTCTTTCCTTTTCTCTTCTTCTTCCTTTATTTTATACTTTATTTTTATACTAGGTCAGAAATCTAATGTTGAAAGGGTTTCCAGCCCCCTATGGCTCTTGGATTTTTAATTTGTATTTAATCCTATGGTCCTTTGAGATTTGATTCATTGCATATCTGTGAGAGCACAAATTGCTACAGTTGTGCTGTTTGTAAGAAAAAAGCCAAATTGGTAATGTCACTGAAGGCCAATTCTAGAGAATAAGCAACAGCTTGAGTTTTTTTTGCCTCTTTTCTCCATTTCTTCCTCATTGGCTGCAGGATTGTGAAGAACAGGTATGTGTATGTGTGTGATAGAAAAGGAGGGTGCCTATTTTGTACCTGTGGTTCCTGAAGTGGGAAGACACCAAAGTGATGTGTGAGCAGTTGTTGTTGAACTGTTTTTCCTTTGTGATTTTTCCCTTCTTTCCTTAAACCGTTGTACAATTGTAAAGACTCTGAGATTCTTACAAAGAAAACATGCTTTGAAAAGGAAGTAAGATAAGGAAGTGAGCAATTAATAATTTGCACCCACCAAACCCTCCCACACCAGAGTTGCTAGTAGTATTTACGATCCTGTTGGCATTTTGATGACAACTGATGATGTTTGGTGGAAAGGGCAGCTTCTTCCCCCCTCTTCCTAAGTTTATTTCCCAGCATGGCTCTGTTGAGTTGTAAGCACGGGTGTGGAAGGGTGCCATACTTGGAATAAAATTAAGAAATAATAATAATAATAATAATAATAATAATAATAATAATAATAATAATAATAATAATAATAATAATAATAATAATAATAAACCCTTTATTATCAAAGTATAACATGTATACCAGTGATGGCGAACCTTTTAGAGACTGAGTGCCCAAACTGCAACCCAAAACCCACTTATACATTGTCGGGTGCCGGGTGGGTGTGGCCCATTGGCTGGATGTGGCCCATTGGGTGGGTGTGGCCCATTGGGTGGGCATGGCTGCGGTGGTAACGGCAGACTGGGTGGCACTAAAAAGTTCAATCAATCAATTCCAACTTTGCAGGATCTTTTTTTCCCCCGTGAAAAGTTGAAATTGATTGAACCTTTTTTTTTTTGCACACGGCGGTGGAGGCCTAAAGCAAAAAGATTTTATAAAACCCAGCTGAAGGCCTAGGATTGGGGCGACGGCGCATGTGCCCACAGAGAGGGCTCTGAGTGCCGCCTCTGGCATCCGTGCCATAGGTTCGCCACCACTGATGTATACAGTGAAATTAGCTGAGCCTCCCTCTGTGCCCCCCCTCACCACAAACTCACGGTGACTACAAACCCCCAACTTATTTCACCCTGTGAACTAATTGCACATCACGAGTCTGTCATGCATAAAGTTATAAAGTTATGTCCCATTCGGAAGCCTGATGGCCCATGGATAAAAGCTGTTCTTCAGCCTGTTGGTACAGCTGGTTATGTTTCTGTATCTCCTACCCGATGTAGGAGAGTAAAAAGGTACCAACCAGGGTGTGAGTCATCCCTGAGAATTTTCCTCATTCTGCCAAGGCAACAGGCCCTGGCGATGTCATCCAGTGGAGTCAGGGAACAGCCCACGATGGCTTGTGCCGTGCTCACCGTGTTTGGGGACTTGGTTACTCTCACAATTTGGATAGTGCTGGCTAGGTGTAGAACCCTGATCTACTCACAGGATGGGAAGGAGAGCAAACCTTATATCATTTCAAGGTGGTATCTTTAAAAATGAGCCGTTTGCAGCATAGAAGCAGCTGCCAGAATATCAATCAATCAATTCCGTTCATTGTGGTCAGAGACCATTACAAGCAGAGTGCTCTTATGAATGAACGGATGAATGATTTATCTTAATAAATGTAGATGAAGTTTACGAGAGAGTCAGAATACATTTCTAAAACAACTTTATTTATTTATTTGTTAAATTTATTAAATTTTATCTTGCTGTCTTGCGACTCTGGGTGGCTTACAATATAAAACAATATTATAAAAGATTAAAACTGTAAGATAAATGCATTAAAATTAACCAGGAAATAGCTAGGATAGTGGGGTGGGGTGGGGATACGATAGAGTGGAGGTGGGATGGTTTAACATCCATAAGGGAAGTCCAGGGTCAGCCTATATTTATAATGTAAAAACTAAAATTATATTAAATATGAATACATCTAAAATGGCAATACATCTAAAATATTTAAATTTTAAATGTATTAGTCACGCAGAAGGCATAGTGGGAGATTGGCCCATTGGGATCTGGTAGGTCTTTTGTGCTGCTACACAAAATCAGAATAACTGCCAGGATAGCTAAATTTGTCTAAGGCCATGAGTCCCCACCTGGGGCATTTTGAGGCTACATTGTGGATGGTCTTCAAAACATCTCCTGAGAAGATCTGCCTCTTTGTGAAAACAGCTGGTATGCAGTGCAATGCTTAACAGAATATTGTACTGTCTAGCTCCCACTCCCACTCTGTCCTTTTTCTTTTGACATCCTTCCAAATAAAGATTTCTGTAAAATTTCAGCAGGATTCTTGGATATAAAGGGGATGCTAGAGGCTTTGTTACTTGCCAGCTTCCCTTTTTTTAAACTGTTAGTTGGAAGGAATAGTTGGGGACTTTGACACTAAGCCATAAACCATTGATCAGTTTTGACTTAGCACGTTTTTGTGAAAAGCAATTTATTTGCAAGCCACAGTTTAAATAAATGTGGTTTAAGAAAGGGGAAGGACTGTATTCAGTTGACTGTGTTGGATTAATGTCAGTGTGGAAACTATTTGATAAGCATTTCTAAGAATCAATATTGCCTTTAACCAATATACAGATCAGTTATATTCCTGAAAAGAAGCTGAATTTTCTTTCAACTACTTTCAGTTTTAAAATGTTGGATTGCCTCATAAGTCACTTTTTTCAGTGCTGTTGTAACTTTGAACAGTCACTAAACATACTGTTGTAAGTCTAGGACTACCTGTATCTGCTTCCCCTTTATTTCTACAACCAACTTTGTAAGGTGAGTGATACCATCATGTAGTGGTTTATTCAAGATCATTCAACATGTTGATTAGAGATGTTAACTTTTGTGTTTTCATCTCTAGTCAGGAAGAAATGGTTGGCTTTATTACACTGCAAACATTTGTAATACCCATGCAAGCATGGATCAGTAAACCAGGATTTTAGTGAACTTGCAGGTGCTACCTACAATGTAATCATTCCTCTTTGACTTACCCCACAAAGCAGAAATTTTTATTTTGGTATTCTGCCAGAACTAGGGCTCCTAGTTGTTGTGGACATTTATAAATAATGATACCTAAACCAAGTTTTGCTTTAGATTTAGGAATCTTGCCTTAGAAGGGATGTAAAAGAAACACTAGTTAGATGACATATCTGGCTTGTGTGATTAATTGCATAGATGAGAGTAACCTAAAACGGGAACAACCGGGATACAGGTACCTACATTCCTAGAACCTTACTATTCTCTGCTCAGCCATTGTTTTGACTGATGATGTGCCATTGAGTCAGTGTCAACTCTTAATCATCATATAGATCAATATTCTGTATGATGATCCTCTCCTAACTGTAGGCGACAAGCAGGCTGAGCCTCAGAGGTGTGTGTGTCAAATTCCCCTGTAAGAATCCTAATTCCAGCCCCCTCCCTTGAAGCCCATTGATTTATCTGGCATCAATTTGCCTTGGCCATTAGTAGTTCAGATTCTTGTGTAAAGGTAGCACAAAATAAACTTGTAGTACTTTTGAATTCTATCCTGGTTCTTGATTTCTTGTCCCTGACTCTAACCCAATCTTTCAAGTCTTCCAATGTGCATCCACATGACTACTTAACTGAATCTTATCTACCTTGTTGCTGGAAGTCTTCTTGTCTTTCCTTCCACTTTTCGCAGCATTCGAGCCTTCTGCAGAGAGCTAGATCTTTGCATGATGTGTCCAATGTAGGATTCTCTGATCCTGGTGATTCGTACCTCGAGTGAGATCTCTAGGTTGATTTGTTCAGTGATCCCATTGGTTTGTTTACCGGTCTGTCCCAGCATTCTTAGGAATCTTCTTCATCACCATAGTTCAGAAGCATCAATAGTCTTCCTATCCCGCTTCTTCCAAGTCCATGATGCAAGTACCTAGTTTGAATGTTTGTTAAGAATGCTAACCTGTGTCTTTTTGCTCTTTATTGTACAGCTGACATAATATCTACGGTAGAATTTAATCATTCTGGAGAATTGCTAGCGACGGGAGACAAAGGCGGTAGAGTTGTCATATTTCAACAAGAGCAAGAGGTAAGGTTTTCATTTTCTCCTTTTTTTATGTAGTTGCTCCAAAATAGAATTGATTTAGTCATAAAAGTGCCAGTTGCCCTAGGCAATGGGGGAAGGCCAGCTGGCATGGATCACTTAACAACTACTACAGTGATTTGCTTAAGAACTCTAGCAAAAAAAGGTCATAAAATTGGGCACATCTCACTTAACAATAGCCTTGCTTAGCAATGGAAATTCTGACCCTAATTGTGTCATAGGTTGAGGACTAACTGTACCACTTAAAGCCACAAACTAGGTTGAACTGGGAAGAACTAACCTTCTTCTCCTGGAAATCTTTCGCATCCAAAAGCTAGATTGGCTTGCATATAGAAGCTCTTTGCCTATGCAGAAAGCTTCTTGTTGACATCCTTCCCCTTAGGTTCAAGTGGTGGGGAAAGATGTGGTATTCTTGCTAGAGCTGGGCCTAAGTCAGTGATATCCAGAGAGGATTTGCATGTCCTCTTCTGGTGTAGGAAAAGAGCAGGCAGAACTGTAGGGCGGAGTCAAACATGTCATCAGCTTAGAGTCCTTGTGTTACCACAAATGATCCAAGTCTAATCTTCCTTGAATCTATTGACCTTTATCTCAGGGCAGTTTAGTGCTGACCATTAGTTGACTAGATTCTTGTTTATGGGCTTGAATAAATCTTATGGGGTGCAATTTAACCTATGGTCCTGACCCTTTGCACCTGACATTAATCTTGTTTAACTCCACCCCTTGCCTACTTTTCTCTTACATCTGGTTCTTAAATTCTCTGAATATCTTAGTGAAGTCTTACATTTCAGGTTGTACATTGGAGAATGTGTGGGAAATGCTAAGTTTAATACTGTTACTCAAGTGGACATTTTCCAGGAAGACTAAGTTAACGCAATAAGGATAGGAAACTGGTTCTGGTCCAGGAGCTGGATCTATCTCTCATCTGTGGCCTCTCATCGAAGAGGCCACAGAGATGTCAAGGATGGAATTTAATGAGGACAGTTGCCTTCCTGCATATCACTCATTTCACACCCATTAAGCCAAAAATGGATCAACCTATGTGATGTTTTTACTGTCTTGTTAGAAGGAAGACATTAACCTTTCATACTTTTGATTTTGGGGACAGTATCTGGAGTGGAGATAATTTGCTTGCGTTCTTTCAGGAAAATGTAAATACCTGAACAGTAGATCTTGTAACAGAGAGGATTTAATATTGTAAGCATTGTGTGTGTGCATGTGTGTGTAAGGAAACAGCATATAACAATTCTGTTGCTTGTTGTAGATTAATTCAAAAATATTCAGTTTGAAATGACATCAAGTCTCTCTGTGTGTATTAATTGATACATTCTTCTGAAAGAAACACTAGGAGATATAAAATAATGTATGTGCTGTATAGACTTCTTAGGAGTGGGGAAGTTATGAGTTTGTCCTTCACGTAGACTTAAGGCAATCTTCTAGTGCCACCTTGTGGTCAGACTGCTGGGGACAAGTCACTCAATGCAATCAGCCTACTCCATGTTTCCCTTTTAATCTATAAAATGCCAAAAAAAATATTAGTTATTATGCTAGTTCTTGCTTGGGGGCATCCAAGGTATCTGGATATATCCCAAGACACCAATGATCAGTCCTTACTGAGTTATTGGAAACACTTGTAAGATTCAGATGTAAAGCTAGCTCCAGCTGTTTCTTGATATGCTAATTGATGTTTCATACATGAATGGTAATGTGGATACCAATAAAGGAGAATAATTGTAGCTCAGGGTTGAAATGAAGAGTCCTTGGTGCTCTCTGAGCTTGGTTGCTTTCTTGACGAGAGTAGAGTAGAGTAGAGTAGAGTAGAGTAGAGTAGAGCAGAACAGAACAGAACAGAACAGAACAGAACAGAACCTTGGAGGTCTTCTAGTCCAACCCCCTGCCCAGGCAGGTAACCCTATACCATTTCGGACAAATGGCTGTCCAGTCTCTTCTTAAACACTTCCAGTGTTGGAGCATTCACAACTTCTGGAGGCAGGTTGTTCCACTGGTTAATTGTTCTAACTGTCAGGAAGTTTCTCCTTAGTTCTAGGTTGCTTCTCTTCTTGGTTAGTTTCCATCCCTTGCTTCTTGTCCTGCCTTCAGGCGCTTTGGAGAATAGCTTGACTCCCTCTTCTTTGGGGCAGCCCCTGAGATATTGATAGATTAGCACCAACCACTTGATGGGCTTTGTGGCAATCTGCTGTCTTCAGGCCTGCTGACAGAACCATGTCTTCAGAGCTTTCTAGAAAAATATCAGGGTGACTTTTGCTGACTTTTTTTTCCTTTTTCTTTTTTAAGGATGATTTTGGGGGGGGAGGTCTTTTGTTATACAAAACCTATTTATGCTCTTCACTTCGAATGTAAATCTTAATCATGGTCTCCCTTTGTACCTATCAGACTAATTTAATTGTTAGGAAAACACTCTTGCTGATAGGGTGAGGAAGGGGGAAGGATTTTTTTTACCAGAACTTCCCTCCAGGTTTTAACATACCTCTTCCTTTATTCTTGGCAATTCTTTATTAAAACATTGACTTGCTGGTTAAATTATAATAAAACATTTTATTTGTAGAATTTCTCAGCATTTTTTTATTTAGCGTTTCTTTACTTAGATATTTAAATTTCTACTTGTGTTATATTGATTAAGATTTCCGTTGGTACACTCAGTTATGATCTATCATTAATACAGTAAATATTTTCTGATTTGATTATAAATGGCACCTTGTAAGATTTGCTTAGGATATTGGCAACTTAAAGCTGTTTACTAAAATTCAGCAGTGGAACTTCTTGCTTTTTTTAGAAGAAAAATAAGAGCTATTATAACAATGTTGTGGTGTTCAGTCTCTGCTAAGCTTAGCAATCCTTCCCCCCCCCCTTTAAATAATATTTGAAACACCCAAACGGGAGAAAAGTTGAAGCTATGATTCCCAAATTCCTCAGATACTGATTTTTTTTCTTTCCTTTACAAACCATAAAGAGTTTTCTACGTTTGCCTGAAGAATCACTGCAAATCCACTGGGTTCTGGGCAGGTATTTGTCCTTGGAAAATAGACACCCTGTTATAGGTGTAAATGGGTGATTTATACACCCAGAATCAGGTTCACAGGGAAGAGGAAAATACTTAATTATCCAGGGCTTATTTTGAGATATAAATAAATAAATAAAGCATGCTAAACATGCTAAATCAGTGTTTCTCAACCTTGACAATTTTAAGGCATGTGGACTTCAACTCCCAGAATTCCACAGGCAGCAATGCTGGCTGTGGAATTCTGGGAGTTGAAGTCCACATGCCTTAAAATTGTCAAGGTTGAGAAACACTGTGCGAAATGGTCTTGGCATTAGGCAACATCCTAAATTAGCTCCTAACTTGGGTGGTCCTGAGAACTGAGCCCAGCCAGCATAGCATTGCCAAGAATTCTGGCGATTGAGATTCAATTTGGGGAAGGAAGGCTGATGCTCCTCAGCTTATCATCTGGCACTTACGACCATTTGAACTTACGACATGGTTTTGACGGACCTTCCCAGAGCTATTTGCGATATGGTTTTGAAGTTCTGAACAGCTGTTCCCTCTCCCTCCCCCAAATCTAGCATGGTCACATGGTCCCATTTTGGGTGCTTGACAACTGACCTGTCTTTACGGCCATTTGCCACATCCCTCAGTCAGATGACGTTTGCCGGAAATAGATTTCTAGGGGGGAAAAAGTCATTTCTACAATGATTTTGCTTAACAACCACTGTGTTCACTTAATGACCACTGCAATAAAGGTAATAAAGAGGGGCACAGTCATAGGGTGACCTGCTTAACAACCACCACGACTTACAGCCGTAATTTTGGGCTCAATTGTGGTCATAGGTTGAGAATTATATACACCACCTTTCAGCCCATAGATCAGGGGTCTTCAAACTTGGCCCTTTTATGACTTGTGGACTTCAGCTCCCAGAATTCCTCAGCCAGGCACGCTGGCTGAGGAATTCTGGGAGTTGAAGTCCACAAGTCATAAAAGGGCCAAGTTTGAAGAGCCCTGATCTAGAAGGCACCCAAGACAGTTGAGGACCATCTGCCAGATAAAGCTTCTCCAGATGCCAGCAGACCTGTAATTGCATTTACCAGTGAGCTGTTTGGGTTAGAATGTGGCAAGGCCATGTCACCTACTAGGCAGGAAATGACTGGTGTCTCCCAACTGATCACGTCAGTGAGATTCATGCCAATAAAATGTTAATTAGTCTGGTTGGGAATTCAGTTTAGCATGCCAACACTGACAGCTTAGAAAAGAGGCTCAGAAGATCATCTTCATCTGGCCTCATAAGTTATGCCTGAATCTAGATGGTCACCCCCCCACAGTAGACTTGGCAAGTAAGTGCCAAGACATTTCATTAGGAGGGAAGGAGGGAGAAACACCAATGAATAAATCAAGAAGTTTGATACAATATTCCCCAGCCCAGATTTTTCTAGCCTAGCTTTTCCCAATTTGGTATCCTTCAGACGATTTGGGATTTAAATACCGATAATTCAAGTATGGTATGGTCTCTATGAACATGGTAGGAAGATTATTATTTTATTATTTTATTATTATTTATTAAATTTATATACCGCCCTATCTTCCTTACAGGACTCAGGGCGGTGAACAGGCGATACTAAAAACCACGATAAATATACACAAGTTTCTGTTCTAAAATCAAATTAAATAACAGGCCTGTTCTAAAAACACCCCATCTGGGCTGATATTAAGCTCTTTCAAGATATGGAGTGTTTCCTCTTTCAGCCTGTTATTAAACACTTGGAAGTCATTATGTTGTTGTTCAAATGCCCTTCTAATAAAAAGGGCGGCTAATCTTTAATAATGATCATTGCTCATGCTTAATAAATCTCATTTAAGGGAAGTTCTGCTCAGCAAGGCAAAGAGAGGAGAGGTGATGTGGCACCTTGTCTGGCATGTCATGTAGCTTACAGAAAGAAGTGGAAGAGGTTCCTGCACATGAGCAGAAGGCTGTTCCAGTTACTGGAACTTTGCTTTGAGAAGCAACCATGAAACTCGTGAAATACGGCGTCTCTTCCGTCTTTGTGCACCCTTGTTGTAGATGCATCAGCAACTGGGGCTTTGAAGCAGGGCTGTTTTCAGATTTTTCAGCTCTAAATCCATGCAAGGTTTTTACAAGCATGGGTCACAGTGAAGCAGGAGTGGGTTTGTGCCTCTGTTATTTTCCCTTGGGAAAACTGGGGCAGTTTATTAAATCAGTGCTTATTTTTGTATATCTCTTTGTATGCCTGAGGAGCAGCTTATAACATTCAGATAAGGATGCAATAAACCCCCAAATTAATCCTTTCTTAGGTGTATGAGATAGCACAGGGACTTTGAGCTAGTCCACTCTCTGTCTAACCCACTTCACTAAACGTGAGAGGGATGCAGTGGGTGGATGGATGGATAGTAGGTCAAAATTTTTCAAAGATAGCAACCAATATCTCTTCAAAGTTGCAAAGGGGTAAACTATGGTTTTGAGCCATCCCCTTTCTTCTTTTATAATAATAATAACAACAATAACAACAACAACTGGAGACAGCAGAATAGACGAGAAAGAACTGGAGAAGATAACAAAATACAAAGACCTACAAATAGAAATAGAAAGACTGTGGCAAAAGCAAGCAAAGGTAGTACCAATAGTAATAGGCGCCTTGGGTGCAATCCCAAAACAACTAGAGCACCACTTGAACACCATTGGCATTGACAAATTCGCCATTAGTCAATTGCAAAAGGCGGCCTTACTAGGAACTGCTTCCATCCTGCGACGAGATCTGTAACACCATCAAACATCCACATCTGCCTATCCCAGGTCCTTGGTAAGGACTCGATAGGTAGACAAAATGCCAAATCTAGTCTGAACATCTGGCTAACTGCGTGATGAATAATAATAATAATAATAATAATAATAATAATAATAATAATAATAATAATAATAATAATAATATAATAATAATAAAGTTGGAAGGGACCTTGGAGGTCATCTAATCCAAACCCCTGTTCAGGCAGGAAACCTATACCATTTTGGACAAATGGCTGTCCAGTCTCTTCTTAAAAACCTCCAGAATAGCCTAGCATAATGGAGAACAGATAATCATTAAAAGAACTTTTCCCTGTGCATTTAGTCTTTGATGCTCCAGGAGAACAGGACCTCCTCCCCAATTTGTGGGACATTCATTAGACAGGGTTAAATTACCATGTTTGTTTAGCTGATTAGACAAATTACAGTCATTAGTTAAGTGCTTTAAAGTGTCTTCTTTTCTCCCCAGAGATGTGGGATTCATATGCTAATCACTTCAAATTTTATCAAAAGGCTTGTTTAGTTGATCAACTGAATGTTTGACAGCCCCTCAAACGGCGCACATTTGAGTTGGCTGCAATTCCCTTGAATTCCCATCTTTCTCAGCTCAATAGTGGACGTGCGCAATGATGTGTACGCCAGGTCCTGCAAAGTGCCATCCAGCTAGGCTGAGCTGTGACCTCTGTTGCACATTAGAAAGAATGAACTTACAATTGTTATTCATTGAATTTCTCATGTTTTATCTTTATTTTTTGTTCGAACTGTCTTTCAGAACAAACTACAGTCTCACAGCAGAGGTGAATACAACGTTTACAGTACCTTCCAGAGCCACGAGCCAGAGTTTGACTACTTGAAAAGCTTAGAAATTGAAGAAAAGGTTAACAAAATTAGGTGGTTACCCCAGAAAAACGCTGCTCAATTTTTATTGTCTACGAACGGTAAGACATTTGTTACTTGGTTAGCTTTTTTCCCCCTTATATCTTTTTTTTTAATTTAATATATAAAATACAAAATAAAAATAGAAATTGCTGGCTCAGGAATTCTGGGAGTTGAAGTCCACGAGTCATAAAAGAGCCAAGGTTGCCTACCCCTGCTGTAGCCTCAACTTTTTGTTTTTACACATTGTTACATCACTAGCCATAACAGCAAATCTATCTGATTGACAAAACCAAATTCCAAAATACCTTTTTTTTTCAATCACAAGCACAAAATCCAGAAGTGGTATCCAAATGAAAAACATACTCGAGTATATTCTCCTCTTTAAACGGAATGATCAATTTAACCATTCCTGCTTTACTTTGCTGTGGAAATAGTATATGTTTCTATTTGCCCCTACTAATCTTTGTAAAACTAACACCATTTCTATTAACAAAGTTACCCGTATACTTTCTCAAATTCTTTGACCTTACTAGGAAAAGTCCCCCCCCCTTTTTTTAAAAAAAATAATGCTAAACTTTCTTTAAGTACTTTTCTAAAGTCAGAATTTTCTAAAGTACTCTTTGTTAATTTTTGATGGTTGATTTTTATTGAACCAAGTTTCCCATGGCTGTCTCTGTCCTAGAAGAAGGGTGTGCAACTGTGGCTCAGGAATTCTGGGAATTAATGTCCACAGGTCATAACAGGGTCATAGTTGCCACCCCTAGAAGCTTGTCATGCAAATTATCATTCCTAACACTGATGTTACAAGATTTTTCTAGGGACTTCCTGGAACCACGTAGTATTCCAGAAGCACCAAGGGAGACATTATGATCTAGCCTGCGCCTATGGAGAGTACTATTATTGTTTTGAAAGTAATCGAGTTTGAATTCTATGTTTTAATTTTACTTGATGACTATTCTCAGAGCTTAGAAGGCTAGGAGGAATGTAAAAATGTTAATCAATTGATGAATCAGTCAAATAAGGTTCTTGCTGTATTCTTACTGCTCCTGTAACATTTTTGTTCTTCTTTGAACTTTCTCCTTCATCCTTGACTCCTGAGATTTGAAACGATGTGGATAGCATTAGCAATGGAGACACTGACAAAGAAGTCAGTACCCTTTTCCTTCCAAGCAATCTTGCCTTTAAGCAAAGTTAAAAAGTGTACCAGGATTGTACACTTTGAATTAGGAAACTGTAATACTTTTGTTCATCCCTCTAGCCAAAATTCATCTATTGTTTTGTATTCCTTCATGACTGCTATCTTTTTAACCAGGAGCCCTGACTATTGTCCTTTAGTTCTTCATTTTTTCTTCACAACACATCCAAGTCACCCTTCTTAAGTACTTCTTCTGTGAACTTTCTTGGAAAGATCGAAAAGTTCTTTGCTGTATGGAAGGAAACCAGCTTTTCTTGTTGTGTTTCTGCAAGATGCTTGAAGTAATGCCTGCAAACAAGACTACACTTGTTTGGCTATCAGCTCAAGTTCTTCTGTAAAGCTTTTGGCCTAAGCTTTATAATCCCCTTAACTAACTATTAGATGTTTTTCACCTTGTACTTTCCTGAGGTGATGATGGATTTTGATTCCCAGATTCCTTAGCTGGAGATCATTGGAATTTGAAGTCCATGTCATCTAGAGAGCCCCGAGATTATGGGAAGGTGCCCCATCAGCCTAGAGCAGAGGTCTGCAACCTTGACAACTTTAAGACTTGTGGACTTCAGCTCCCAGAATTCCTCAGCCAGTTATGCTGGGAGCTGAAGTCCACAAGTCACAAAAGGGCCAAGTCTGAAGACCCCTGGACTATGATCTGACAGGGTTTCCACTCTTCCTAGGCAAATTGTTGAGAATTGTCAAGGTTTCAGGCCCCTGGCCTAGAGCATGGTTGAGTTGGCACAACATATTCAGTTAAATTAAAATAGGATTAAATACTTGGTGATTCCAAGAATTATAGGAAAGCCAGCTATAGTGTAGCTTTTTTTGTTTGGGTATAGCACAGTGATGGCGAACCTTTTAGAGACCGAGTGCCCAAACTGCAACCCAAAACCCACTTATGTATCGTCAGGTGCCGGGTGGGTGTGGCCCATTGGCTGGGCGTGACTGCGGTGGTAATGGCAGACTGGGTGGGACTAAAAAGTTCAATCAATCAATTCCAACTTTGCAAGATCTTTTTTTTTCCCAGGAAAAGTTGAAATTGACTGATTGAACCTTTTTTTTTTTTTTTTGCACACGACGGCGGAGGCCTAAAGCGAAAAGATTTTATAAAACCCAGCTGAAGGCCTAGGACTGGGGCGACGGCGCACGTGCCCACAGAGAGGGCTCTGAGTGCCGCCTCTGGCACCCGTGCCATAGGTTCGCCACCACTGGTATAGCATATTACAAAAACGCCATAGCTATTGTATATTTTCTTAACATAGGGTTGAAGTTTGTATTATGTGAACCTAGTTGCATATACAGGTAGTTTTTGACTAACAATCACAATTGGGATCACTATTTCTGTAATTAAGCAAAATGAAGTGAATCATACCCAATATTGCACCCCCTTTTTCCCCCGTAGCTGTTAAGTGAATTACTATAGCTATTAAGTGAACCACATGGTTGCTAACCAAATCCAGCTTTCCCCATTGACTTGTGCTTGTCACAAGCCAGCTCACATGTCTGGGATGCTGCAACTCTCGTAAATACATGCCAGTTGCCAAGCACACAAGTTCTGATCACGTGACCATAGGGTGTTGTGATAGTCATGTGGGGACCAGTCATAAGTTCCTTTTTTCAATGTAACTTTGAATAGCCTCTAAACAAATGGTCGTAATTTGAGAACTACCTGTAACTTAAATTAAAAAAATATATATCCTGGTTTGCTCTGCCTCCATAGAGTTGACGTTTATGTTCCAAGCACCAAAACCCAGTTAGTTGGCATCTGATTTCGCAAAGCATTGAGTGGTTGATGCCTTTTGTCCTAGCAACCCTTTTTCCAATCCTGGGCGGGGGGGGGGGCATGATGAAACTAAGAATTTTCTAACTCAGGGGTCTTCAGACTTGGCCCTTTTATGACTTGTGGACTTCAACTCCCAGAATTCCTTAGCCAGCATGCCTGGCTGAGGAATTCTGGGAGTTGAAGTCCACAAGTCATAAAAGGGCCAGGTTTGAAGACCCCTGTTCTAACTTGCAAAAGCCATTGTCTTAATCTTGCTGAAATCTCACCTGAGAACTTGGGCCTTTTGTTCCATTTCATTTGAAGAGCTGGAGGCATCTCTTTAGAATGGGAGGTGTTGGCTCTGCCAAGTTAAGTTAAAAGTGCAAATTATCCAATACCCACAATGTGTGTCTGGAATGAACAGCCATAGCAAAGGCTCTGAACTGCCACCAGGGTGGTAAGTTCCAAAGAACCACCCTGTTAGCTACACCTAACCACATCAGGTGTCCACCATGGTTCTTATAGGCATGAATCATATTATATATTCTGTGTTCAGTTCTGCTGTCAAAAGAGTTGGAGGTTCTCAACAGCCCTTTTTTTACCTCCCTGTGTTTCAGACAAAACAATAAAACTATGGAAAATCAGTGAAAGAGATAAACAGCCGGAAGGCTACAACTTGAAAGAGGAAGATGGCCGGTATAGAGACCCCACTACAGTTACTACTTTACGGGTGAGTAGCGCATTTACTTTTTCTTAAACTTGGATCTGCAATGTGACATCTGGGAAAGATGCAACATATGGTGGCCTGGTGGTTTTCCCTACCGGCTCAATTTAGAGACCACTACCCCTACAGAAAAATCAGTTTAGGTAAAATGCTAGTTTGCAGTTAATTGGCATCTGATTTAAAGCATGGTCACTATGATGTCCAAAATAACAAACTATTGCTTGAGCCACTGTTACACTCTGGATGGAAAACAAAAGAGAGAAGCACCTGGATCCAGAACCCAGAAAGCAGATTAGCTGTCTTGAGCTTCAGGGCATCCTGAAATTATTGTGGGACCTCCTGTGAAAAGAATCAGAGATTCCAGTATCTTGAGATTTCAGCCATTTTAAATTTTATTTTGGTATGTATATTATTGATGTGTATACTTATCTACCTAATCTACTTACCTACACACACACACACAATCTGTGGAAGCCATTTATGGGTGTTGTGGGGTCTTGGTGACTCAAGCCACATAACCCTTTCCCTCTCCTTCCCTTCCCCTTCCTTCCATGCTGCCCACCACACCTGGAGATGTCTTCTTTGTCATCTATTTTCTATAGCAGCGGCATCAAACTCGCAACGTCATGTGACGTGTCATGACGTGTCGCGACTTTTTTTCCCATTGCCGGCAATGAGGTGGGTGCGGTTTTGGCCCGTGGGCCGGCAGTTTGACACCCCTGTTCTATAGTCAGCAGGATTGTAACTTTGCTAACTCTGTCACTGCTTAATTCTGGGGCCAATAGATTTTAAGAGGGATTGAACTTTTAAGAGTGCTTTGGGGGATTTCTGGTGAGAGACAGCAGACTTGGGTGTCACAGCACGGATGGGTTGAGTGATCTGGTCCTGTTTTTGCTCAGATTTATACCCCAACCCATTCTGATGTTTCCATATAGGGAGGTCTTGGTTTTCTCCCTTTTAATCTGTTGATACTGAACTAATGTCAGGCGCAAAGAATCAGGACCACAAAATGTTGCCATTCAGAAGGATTTATTATTCAAGCCTATACACAAGAATGTAGTCAACTAAGGTTCACATCTGAATTGGTGCCAGATAAGAATGTAAGAGGTGGCTGGACTTGGATGTTTGTGGCAATGTAATGACTCTAAACTGATGACATGTTTAATGCCTCCCCCAGCTTTGCTTGCTCTTCTCCTACAGATTTGGCCATAATTGCTCACATTTTTTCAATCCTTTGATTTACAGGTGCCAGTATTTAGACCCATGGATCTCATGGTGGAAGCCAGCCCTCGAAGAATATTTGCCAATGCTCACACGTATCACATCAACTCTATCTCCATTAATAGTGATTATGAAACGTACTTGTCTGCGGATGACTTGAGGATTAATTTGTGGCATCTAGAAATCACAGATAGAAGTTTTAGTATCTTTTTACGTCAGTGTGTTTCTGTTCAACTGGGCTAAAGATCAGATTGCGCAGGACTGGGGTCTACACATTTTTCTGCTCCTCAGTGCTATTGTATCATCACAAGTGATAACTTCCATGCATCTGGAAATTATTTATTTATTGGTGCAATCTTGGAAACTCTGTGGAGACTACAAATATATTCTGGGAATTGGACACTTCAATTTCATTTGATTTCAAGATAGATAACAATGAATTTATTTTATTTATTTATTTTTTATGCCTCCCGTCTCCCCTACAAGGCAACTCTGGGTGTCCAATCAATGAAAATAGTTTTAATTAAATGTCAGTTATATGTTTGCTTCTGATATATTTAACGTTTTTTTTCAAAATATCATTGAGAGCAATTTTAGAACAGTCATGTGGACCACATACAAACCCTAGATGGTGGTAGAAATTGTCCTTTTAGCTACTTTTAAATTATTTTATAATGTAACCCCTGTTTCTTGTACATATATTGCATAAGCCTTGAGTTTTTGGAATCCAGATCCCCGCTAGGGGTGATCAAGTAGCATAAATATTTATTGTTTGAATATAAAGAAGGATTAATTATAATACTGTAATTACTCTCTGGTTTATAGTGGATGAGAGCATCTAGTCAATTTTGGCTGATACTGTAAAAGCTGGGCAGGGCAGGCCTTAATAGTACTTTGATGGGAGACCACTAGAAAATCATTGGGCTGCAGATGAGAGGGGGAATGGTATAGGTATCAAATGTAAGGATGATGAAGAGGACACTGACAAATCACTATAAAATTGCAGCCAAGAAAATGTGGCTATGTCTATGTATGCACTGAAGTCTACCTCTTATCTTACTTCCTCTATATAAAAATGAACGAGATAGTTCTTTCCCCAAAAGATAAAATTGATGGAATTGAGTTTGCAGCTTCCATGTAGCCTAATAACTAGTTTTATCCAATCTCTTGCCGCAAAGTGTGGTGCTTTCTAGCAATTTATTTTGTCCCTAGTATGGGTTAGAATAGGGCAGATTGATGGCTCAGCGGCTAAGATGCTGGGCTTGTCGGCTGGAAAGCTAACAGCCCAGGTTTAAGACCTAAGTGCCGCACAATGGGGTGAGCTCCCGTCTTCGCTCCAGCTCCCCGCAACCTAAGCAATTTGAAAGCATGCAAATGCGAGTAGATAAATAGGTACCACTTTGTTGGGAAGGTAACAGCGCTCCGTGATGTCATGATGGCCACATGACCGCAGAAATGCCTTCGGACAGCACTGTCTCAATGGTCTTGAAATGGAGATAAGCACTGCCCCTTATAGCTGGCAACAACTAGCAGAGTAAAATTTGCAGGGACTCCTTTTATGGGCTAGAATGCAAATGCCAAGCTTTGAATGTCACTGAAAAGAAGATTCCTTAATGCCAACAACTCCTAGATATCGTAGATATTAAGCCTGCCAACATGGAAGAGCTGACGGAGGTAATAACGGCGGCCGAATTCCACCCAAACAGCTGCAATACTTTTGTGTACAGCAGTAGCAAGGGAACTATTCGCCTGTGTGACATGCGCGCGTCGGCCCTCTGTGACAGGCATTCGAAATGTGAGTAGCCTTTTCTATTCTAATGGAGTTTTATCACCAGGGCAAATTGGTGTAAAGCAACAGACTGGAAAGCCCATTTAATTTTATATCCCCAATTGTAAAACAAAAGCAAAGCAGTTTAAAATATCTTTGACACGAAGAGGATCTCACAAAGCCACTAAAGATTTGCAATATTTCAGCACCCACTGAATGCAGGAGATGTTCATTTTTATGTTGTGTGTGCCTCTTGTGTGTGTACCACAAACACAATTTTTGGATTCCAGGAGCACCTTTTAGGAATTGATGCTGCATTACTACCCAACCCCTATATGCCCTTCTTTAATCAAGCTTCTCCTACTTTTGGCACAACACACGATGGAAAACACATAGACAGTGTTGTTTATAGATCTAATAATAGATGATTATCCAGTAGTTGGGCTTCAGTCTCTTTTGGAACACCTTTGCTCCTGATAAGTAGCAAACTTCATTGCTTCATTGGATTTCTGGGCTGCAGGAAGTCCAAAAATATGAGTTAGCTGGCTATGGATACTAATTCATCAATACATAATATATAAAGGCCTGCTTCTACCAGTCCTTGGAGCTGGAAATGGGAATAAGGAAAGTTGAGCTCAAATTAAGAATTAATAATAATAATAAAGTTGGAAGGGACTTTGGAGGTTATCTAGTCCAACCCCCTGCTCAGGCAGGAAACCCTATACCATTTCGGACAAATGGCTGTCCAGTCTCTTCTTAAAAACTTCCAGTGTTGGAGCATTCACCGCTTCTGGAGGCAGGTTGTTCCACTGATTAATTGTTCTAACTGTCAGGAAGTTTCTCCTTAGTTTTAGGTTGCTTCTCTCCTTGATCAGTTTCCACCCGTTGCTTCTTCTCCTGCCTTCAGGTGCTTTTGAAAATAGCTTGACTCCCTCTTTTTTGGGGCAGCCCCTGAGATATTGGAAACACTGCGATCATGTCCCCCCTCGTCCTTCTCTTTTATTAGACCTCTGGTGGATAACTTTTCATCTCAGAAGGATTTGGCTTCCCAGGGTTTCATGCTTTAGGTTTTATGTGTTCGTGGGCATAAAAAGGGAAATATTCATGTCATCGAGGTGAGCTTGGTAAATTAACGTGCTTACATTTCACTTAACAGTGTTTGAGGAGCCAGAAGATCCAAGCAGCCGGTCCTTTTTTTCAGAAATCATCTCCTCCATCTCGGATGTCAAATTTAGCCATAGTGGTCGATATATGATGACTAGAGATTATCTGTCTGTGAAGATTTGGGATTTAAATATGGAAAACCGACCTATGGAAACGTACCAGGTACACTATACAGATGTACAGTTTGGGAGTCCATTTGCAATTCATTTAGGCTTAAGTGAAGGTTTGGTAGGATAGTGAATATAGATGCTGTACCACCTGTAGTGCCCCCAGAGAGCACACCCTTATCACCGCAATGAAAATTTGTTGATAGATTTAAATAAGAAATAAATAATTCAGAATTTCCTGCGGAACCTCTCCCAGAAGTTCTGAATAAGTTGTGGACTTATTTAAAATAAGATTTAAAATATATATGTATCTCTGTTGGTGTCTACAATACTGTCATGAGGGGCCTATTCTTGCAAAGGTGGCTGGTCCTAGCTTCAGGTATGATTTATGGCTGAATTTTTTTTAACATAAACGGGTAGAACTATTTGAGAAGGTATTTGTTCAACTAGCAATGTAAATTCTTGTGTTTCTTTTAAACAATTTTAATTTTTGCATCATTTCTTATTGTTTACCATCCTGAGGTTTATATGAATATACATCCTGAAGTGTATATGCTGAAAGAATGGAGTATAATTTTATATACTGCATGTCTGTATGAATTCATACTTTGGGTCATGATTTCAGATCCAGGACATGCATTTGAGATTATCAGATTTTTTTCTCTTTCTTTCAACTCCTTAAATATTTCCTTAAAGGTGGTCAAAAAGGACCAGAGATCTCCTAAAATGATCTCTAATACAGTCTGAATAGCTGAATGTGCGATATGAAGTTATGAGGCTGCTATCCAATTTAATGCAAAACCTTTATTAAGCGTGATAAGTTTTGCATTAATAAGAACAGCAATCTAGAAATTAAGGGTATTTTATTTTTGGATGATGTGAACTTTCATATTCACACAATTATTTGCAATCTTAAGTTATAGCCTTTCTCTGTGAAAAGCAACTTAAAACAGTTAATAACAGTTAATATATTATTTCTTCTTTAAACTAGCGTGTGTTTTATTTCCAGGTACACGAATACCTCAGAAGTAAACTTTGTTCGCTCTACGAAAATGACTGCATTTTTGACAAATTTGAGTGCTGCTGGAATGGGTCGGATAGGCAAGTTTCAATTTTTTCTTCTTTCTTTTAGCATCTCTGCACTAATTGACAGTTAAAACTTTTTTTCAACTGAACATCTAGAAGGCTTGGCTGCGTGGAAAGCTTATGTAGCTTGCACTGTGTTTTGGTATTAAGTCACCTGTTTAAAATGATTGAAAAGAAAAAAGTACAGCCAAATAAAAGAATTAGCTGGATATTTTTTTTTATTATTTTGGTTTATCCAGTGAAGCATCTAAATGGGTCAGTTTCTGTTTTATGTTTAAACTTATTGTTTGGTCTGTGTGGGACTGGGTCCCCGCCCCCTTTTTTGCTGTTTATTCAATCTTTATTTACTTACTAAGGTGGAACAAGCAGGGAGATCTGCTCAAAGTTTGGCTTGGGGCCTCTGATGCTTTGTGAATTCCAGATGAAATTGTATTAACCAATCCTGACCTTAGGTTATCCAGGCAGAATGGAATGCAGTTATATAACCTTTACCAAGATCAAATAATTGGTTCATTTAGCCTAGTATTACATACTGTATGTAGCAACTGATGCTTCTGATCTTATGAACTGGGGATCTTAAGGATTGGATCTTCCTGCAAATACAGTTTATGCTCTCCTGATATGCATCAATTATCTCCCTATAGTAAATAATTTCTGCATTGGTTGTAACTGATGGTCTTTACACTGCTAGGCTAACCTTGATAAAACAGTGTATATTTTTAAAAACAAACTATCAGAACTCACATATACAATTGCTAATATTTCTGCCTTAGTGAGATAAGCAGTGTCTACATTTACCACACACACACACATACACAGTATATGTATAAAATATAAATAAATTTAGGCACTGCCGATCTCACTATCAAAGTGATTCTGTGCAGCTTGCAGATAAAAAGTCAAAATCCTACAAAAGATACAGTTAAAACAGAATAAAAACCAATTGGCAGATTTTTAAATTTTTATTTTCGTATCGTATTTGCTTTTAGTTACCTGCCTGCAAGAACCTCAGTCTGAAGAAATTAGGAACTGAAAGGGAAAAATACAATCATTGTGCCCTCGTTTTCCTGATTAAAAACTGCTCGATTCAATTGTCAGTAGTCAACGTCTCTTAAATCTGTAATTTCAATTCTGAAGAATTGCAGTATATAAATTAACAACTCTGGGCCTTTTTCCCCCGCAAAAATCCAGAGTATACATAATCAAAGGAGCTTTTATATTTGCAAGAAAAACATTTAAAATACTCCATCTTACTTCTATACATGTATTTCATAATTACTAACATATTGCAAATGTTTTAAACCGAACGGACTGGATAAATTAAAGAGGTCCCATTGGTGTAACTTTACTAGTAGCTTCCTCATCCCCACCATCCGTGCAAATAAAGTGCCACCAGTGGAATGAAAACAACCAGCTGCAGAAAGTTTAAGGCAGTGATGGCAAACCTTTTAGAGACCGAGTGCCCAAATCGCAACCCAAAACCCACTTATGCATAGTTGGGTGCCGAGTGGGTGTGGCCCATTGGGTGGGTGTGGCCCATTGGGTGGGTGTGGCCCATTGGGTGGGCGTGGCTGTGGTGGTAACAGCAGACTGGGTGGGACTAAAAAGTTCAATCAATCAATTCCAACTTTGCAAAATCTGTTTTTTTCCCCGTGAGAAGTTGAAAATGACTGATTGATTGAACCTTTTTTTTTTGTACCTAGCGGTGGAGGCCTAAAGCGAAAAGGTTTTATAAAACCCAGCTGAAGGCCTAGGACTGGGGCGACGGCATGCGTGCCCACAGAGAGGGCTCTGAGTGCCGCCTCTGGCACCCGTGCCCTAGGTTCGCCACCACTGGTTTAAGGTCAACATCTCTTTTTCTCCTCTTTCTCCACAGCGTCGTCATGACCGGCTCCTATAACAACTTCTTCCGAATGTTCGATAGGAACACCAAGCGTGATGTCACGTTAGAAGCTTCTCGGGAGAACAATAAGCCTCGCACGGTTTTGAAACCCCGCAAAGTCTGTGCGAGTGGCAAACGGAAGAAGGATGAGATAAGCGTCGACAGCTTAGACTTCAACAAGAAGATCCTCCACACAGCCTGGCATCCCAAGGAAAACATAATTGCTGTAGCCACTACAAACAACTTGTATATATTTCAAGACAAAGGGATTTAGAGTAGCGGTCCGGGTCAGAAGAGTCCACTTCCTGTCTAGTTCAGAGAGGTGAACTTAGCATTTGTAAAACAATATAGGGGAAGAAATGGAGCCAGAGAGAGAGAAGTTCGTTGCGGTGCACCTTCCCCAGTGTTTAAACAATGTGCCATAGTGACAACCCATTTTTTTCTAGATAGCTACATGGATGGTTCTCTCTCTCTCTCTCTCCTCTCCTCTCTTTTCTCTCTCTTTCTCTCTCTCTTTCTCTCTCTCCTCTTTTCTCTCTCTTTTTTTCTCTCTCTTTGCTGGGCAGTTCTCCACTAGCCATTTAGGTGGGGGTAGGGCACTTTTTAACGTAAAATTGACTACTTGCACCATCTCACCAAATGGACTAGAGATTGGATCAACATTGGGTTCCTCCAGTTTTTTTTTTTATGCCTTCCATTGTGATGACGTCAGCCACAGAGCGAAACCTTCAAGTAATGCTGTCGGATTTTCATTGTGTAACCTCATTACTGTATTATTTGTGCCCCCCCCCCTATTTTTTTTTAATTAAATAACAGCTTGTTCTTGCTGTGGCTTGTAGCATTCCTCTTATGTCTCCTGGACTCCTTCTCCCTTTTACAATCCCTTTCTCCAGCCCTGTGGTGGTGATGGTGGTGTCTAGAGAAGAAGAAAAGAAATGAAAAGCACATGAAATGGGTCGGTGGTCAAAGGGGGGGGGAGGGTCTCTTGCAAAGAGTAAAATGTTTTAATGAAATGTTGACTGCAATCACTCCTTGCCGTGTCTGGCACTGAAAATGAAAAAGGGGAAAAAAACGTAAGGGGAGGGGGGGAATATACTGAATAAAAATGTCAAATAATGACAAATTGTTTTTTTTTTCTTTTCAATCTACCTCTTTATATTAAAAAATGTTTTTTTTTAAGTTAAGATACGTGATAAAATGGTTTGATAATGATTTTAACCAGTATTAATTTTCATGAGGAAAGGGAGAAGTAAGGGGTTTTTTTAATGACTTCTATATATGAAATTGTTAAAGACACTTTAATATTTATCTGCAGTTTCCATTAAAATAACTTTTTGGAACACTCTTGGATTCTGCCCTACGCTTAAATAGTAATTGTCTTATTTGTCTCATGTCATCTCCAGTTTGAGCCTTCTCCCTTTCTTCTCCTTAACAGAATTTTGTCAGATTCGGGAAGCGTCTGAATTTTGTAGAATAGTGCTAAAGTTTTATGGGACTAAACTTTTTCATGTGTTAATCCCTTTGTCCTAATTTCAGTGAATGCCTTGTTTCAGATTCAGACTCTCAGAACCGTGCTTTTCTTTCCTTTTTGAAAAAAAAATTAAAGTTTCTTGTTTTTAAAAAGTATGTTGTACCAAATTTAATATGAAGCGATTTGAATAGATAAAAACCATTGCATGCCTGATAACCCCGATACTTAATGTATTTTTATTGCTACCAGGAACTTGAACAGAATTGTAGTTTGACCTTATAAACATTCCTGTTTTCATGCCCTTAAAAAAAAAAAAAAAAACACTTGCTACTACAGGATATAGAAAAAGTCGCAGTGATCAAAAAATGCTTCAAGTCCCCAGTAGATCCAACAATAGATGTTGGCATACCATTTAAAATATTTATGCACCATTTTTAGCGCTCACATATTCTCCATGTTTAGGTAAAAATCCCAAACTTTCTATAATCTCCATAATATTCCCAATCTAAGGATAGCACCTCTGAGGGCTACCAGCTTTTTAGCAATAGCACTTAGACTTTATATACCGCTTCACAGGGCTTTACAGCCCTCTCTAAGAGGTTTACAGAGTCGGCATATTGCCCCCAACAGTCTGGGTCCTTATTTTATTCACCACGGAAGGAAGGCTGAGTCAACCTTGAGCCAGTCAGGATCGACTGAAGTAACAGATAAGGTAGTCTGATCAAGATTCTTAACAAATCTAGAAAGCAATTGGATTTCAAGGGACATCCACAGACTAGGAATACCTGCACCCATATCCCCTCCTTGCATTTAGCTTTATTTATTTTCTCAAGGGAGGGCTCTATTTCCCACTTTCTCATATGGCTCTATGACAACTCGCCACAGCCTACTTTGCCAACCTGTTTCGGCCAACTCACCGGAGCAAACTTGCTGCGGGAGACGAGTTACACTAGTATAGAAGAAATAGACTCATTAAAGAAAGAAAAGATGCCAGAAACAAAAGGGACAAAATAAAATGTGAATGACAAACATTAAAATATTTTTTAAAAATATTTTAAATAATTACATTGAACTGTCTCGCAGAGTCGTTCCATGGAGAATTGCCGAATTCTGTTCTCCTATAGGGTGGCGGAAGGGCGCATTCAAATGGGCAGCTCTTGCTAGTTAAAGGATATTGTTTGTTCCTCTGTCTTTCCTCCCAGAGGTCCCTAAATGAGATCTTTGGAGGCAATGAGATCTATTGTGTAATGAGGGGAATTGCACAATAAAAGCTTTGGCTGGAAGCAATTGTCTACTGAGAAACATGCCCCCCTCCAAAGAAACAAAACAAAAACCAACTGATGAAAGACAGTACAGTAGCCAAGTTGTAGTTAGCCTGTGTTATATGCACACTGAAGCAGAAAGATTTGAATTTTGGAAAAAGTGTAGCAGGTGGATAAAGAATAACTTTCCAAGGAAAAGTTAATTGTCTTGGATTAGTTCAGAAGAAAATAAATTGAAGGGAGACATGTTCAAGGTATATAAAATCAGGTAAAGAGGAGGATAGCCCCTTCAATATATTAGGAATAGGGTCTTCCAAGCTAGCTGGAAAAGTTAGGAGAAACACTTCAGGCAGCTTGGAATTGTCTATGTAATTCTTTATCATAATGATGTTGCCCACTGGATAGCTTTCAAGGGAGAATCATACAAAGCTGTGCTATCAAGGACTGTTACTGTTGAAATTTCAGTTTTAACTCCAGGTTGTCTCCAGATGCCAATTGTAAAGAGGATGACAGAAGGGAAAAAAAGAATAAATCATGTCAATCTGATTGTGAAAAGTAATTGGCAATCAGAAACAAAATGTCTCAACCTTGGCAGCTTTAAGATGTGTAGAGTTTTACTTCCAGAATAGTGCTAGGTTAAGATACCGGTAGCTCTTGATTTGATCCTGTATGGCTATTCTTTCCGATTTTGATTTTTATTCTGCATTTTAAGCATGTGCAAAACTGAATTATCAATTTCTTGAAAAAAAGATTTATAGACTGCATCTGGATGGGGAGAAACTCTTAGCACTAATTTGATGGACACATGCAGTAACAGTTCATTTGAAGCAGTTTCATCTGAGCAGCCAAATTACCTTCGACTCTGTCCCTAAGCTTCAGGAGAAATTTAAAATACTTTGCGCTTCTTCCTCTCTTTCAGTTTTAAGATAATGAAGTGTGCAATTCATGATATTTATGAAACTTTTAAGAAGTACTATAAAAGTAGAGAAAGCCAAAAACATGTTTTCTGCATCATTTTTTATTTTTTATTGAGGATCAGCTCCCTCTTTGTTTTTAACAAAGGGGAAAAAACATTCCTTGATATCTATTATTTTCTAGGTAAATATTTGTAGCACTTGTAAACAGTGGTTATTAAAGAGAGAACTTAGAATTAAGGAGAAATTTCCTGACAGAACAATCAGTGGAACAACCTGCCTCCAGAAGGGGTGAATGCTCCAACACTGGAAGAAGTTTTTAAGAAGAGACTGGACAGCCATTTGTCCGAAATGGTATAGGGTTTCCTGCCTGAGCAGGGGGTTGGACTAGATGACCTCCAAGGTCCCTTCCAACTTTATTATTATTATTATTATTATTATTATTATTATTATTATTATTATTAAGTGGGTTCACCTTTGGTATTGGAATTGGGTATGTCTAGTCTATTGAAGAGAAGGACGAGGGGGGACGTGATAGCAGTCTTCCAATATCTCAGGGGCTGCCCCAAAGAAGAGGGAGTCAAGCTATTCTCCAAGGCACCTGAAGGCAGGACGAGAAGCAATGGATGGAAACTAATCAAGGAGAGAAGCAACCTAGAACTAAGGAGAAACTTCCTGACAGTTAGAACAATTAACCAGTGGAACAACCTGCCTCCAGAAGCGGTGAATGCGCCAACACTGGAAGTTTTTAAGAAGAAACTGGACAGCCATTTGTCTGAAACGGTGTAGGGTTTCCTGCCTGAGCAGGGGGTTGGACTAGATGACCTCCAACATCCCTTCCAACTCTATTATTATTACTATTACAATAATAATACTACTTGGGCGGACGTTTTCCAGCTTCCCTAGTTTGGTTACAATCTTGGATTTCCGAGTGGTCCCCTATCCAACTAGGAGCCAGGCACCACCCTGCTTAGCTTGTTAAAGCGCTGCAACCCCTGATCTCATTACGCACCCCAAGCTATTATGTCTCCAAGCCCGGCGCATGCGCAACAAAAAAATAGACCACCAAGCAGCGGATTGAGGGAGGCTACGTGCGGGGTTCGAGGACAAGCATGCGCACTGCCGCCTGGGAACACCACGCCCCCCCTCCCTCTCCGAATGGCCTACGTGAGGAGCGTCAGGGAGGAAAGCTTTCATCTGCGTAAGTGGGCGGTGCCTCTGCCCCGGCTAGGGGCCAGGCTTCCGACGGCGCGTGCGCAGCGGGCTCGGAGGAGGCGGGGCCGCTGGGGCTGGCGTCGGGGAACGTACAGATACCCCTTCGCGATCCCAGCTGTGCTGCTGTTCTCCCCGCCGCCGTCGCCGTCGTCCTCGGGAGCTGCCTCCGCTCCTCCACGCGCTGCCTCGGACGGACCAGCTCCGCGCTCGCCGTCGCCCCGTTCCGCCGCCATGTCGTCCCCTCAGGACTTGCCTCACCACAACAACAACAACAACCTGCCGCCGCCCGAGGGGACGCCCACCGAGCCGGGCCTCAACAGTGAGTGGGCTGAGGGCGGGTCGGGCAGCGGCGGCGGCGGCGGCTCTCCCCGTTTCTTCTCCTCCCTCCTTCTCTCCTCTCCACCTCCCCACTTCCGCGCGAGACGAGAATGGGGGGTCCCCCCTCAAGTGGCGGTTAGCCTCCCTCCCCCTCCATCTCCCCCCCCCCGGGCCCGTTGCTTGGCAGGGATTGGCTGGTCCCCTGGCCGCACGAGCGCCTGTGGGCCAATGAGAGAAAGGCTGGGTGGCAGGCGCGTGGGGGGGGGGAAGAGGGAGGGAGGGAGGGAGGGAGGGGGGCGAAGGGATACCTGAGCGGAGGGTGCAACTTTCCCAATCTGGAGCGTTGGACTACAACCCCCATAATGCTTAGGCGTCAGCATGGGAGTTTGGGGGGGGGAAGGAGGGCCATTGATTAGACCAGGGCAGGGGTAGGCAACCTTGGCTCATTTATGACTCGTGGACTTCAACTCCCAGAATTCCTCAGCCAGCTTGGCTGGCTCAGGAATTCTGGGAGTTGAAGTCCACGAGTCATAAAAGAGCCAAGGTTGCCTACCCCTGGACCAGGACGTTCTCAACCTTGGCCACTTTAAGACTTGTGGACTTCAACTCCCAGAATTCCTCAGCC